GGGAGGTCTTCTTGGTTCTTTCGGTAAAGTCACGTAGAATGTAAATAATAAAATAAAAAAATAAAACATAATAAAATAATTCTCACGACGTTTCGGCCACAACGCAAGCAGCCCTCCTCAGGTGGAGAGCAGGTCTGTCGAGTAGACAAAGCCTGAATGATGAATCCCTGCAGTCACGAAAGCTTTAAATCGAAATTTACACAGGGAGGTGTTAAGATATTCAAACGCCAAATAGAAACATTTTGCGAGGGATCAAGTCTCCATTGACCACACGCAGGACCTGTGATGAACAAGCAAACAAAACACGTGGACCACTGTGTAACAGAATTTTTTAAATATATATTTTATATCTTTTATATATTTTTTTAAATAAAATAAATGTTTTTGTTCCTGGGTAGGAAATGTTATTTTCCAATTGCTTATGCCTCTCAAAAGTACAGAAAATGGCTATTATTCCCCACAAACTTTGCTTTTGTGACCAGGACACAAAAGCAAAGTTAATCATCCACTCCATTAATAACGCTGTGTAACAAATGTTTTTTTTTCTGGGTAGTAAGTGTTGTTTCCTAATTGCTTATGCCTCAAAAGTGCAGAAAACGGCTATTGGTCCCCACAAACTTTGCTTTTGTGACCAGGACAGTGATATTTGAAATGTACCTATTTTCAATGAGAAAACGTGGTGTGCTTTTGTGTCATTCCTTCACTTAAAATCCTGGTCACAAAAGCAAAGTTTGTGGGGAATAATAGCCGTTTTCTATACTTTTGAGGCATACGCAATTAGAAAATAATACATACCCAGGAACAAAAAAAAATATTTCATAAAAAAATAAAAAAAATATTTTTCTGTTACACGGTGATACTGTATCTATAATATATGCTGCATTGTCTTTGAAACTGATTGGCAACACACTAGAAGCAGCTTTCTTCATGGCCTAGTCTCAGTGTCAGACCCAGAGAACAACGTCACAAGGCGAACAGGACAATTCGTTGTTGATGCGCGCTTAGAAAAACAAAGTTAGCCGTTCTCTTTAAATTCATTTCAACGGAAAATTCATGCGCGCGTAGATTAATGTTAATGGGAGTCGGGGGGGTGAATGTTTGACAAAGTAAATTAAGTAACCACCGTGAGAGTTGATCACAGAAACAAGTAAAACCCGTAAAAACAAAGTTTTTCACAATAAATCCTTTATATGCGTGGCGGCTAGAGTCCTCTCGTCCTCTGGCTTGAGATGGCTGCCACCTATGGGTCAGATGATTGTCTGCCAGTATTAAGCAATTGGTAATTAAATATTTAATTTGTTTTCCCTAAACAGTGTAAAATTTAGAAAACATTTTTTCACGAACATTAATTGTCTCGCACAACGAGTCTGTGTGCAAAATGTCAGCTCGATTGGATCACGGGAAGTGGGTTAAAAAACGACTGAAAGATTTGCACGGTCGTAAGCAAGCAAGCAAGCACGCAAGCAAGCAAGCAAGCGAACTTAATATAAAGGATTTAAAAATAGACCAACTCCTGTTTCACAAATCTGGCTATCGCCTGATGAAGCCAGTTGTGATTACCGGCGAAACGTCGTACTTGGATTAGAAATGTTTTGGTTTTGCTCTCCAACACACCGGTTGTGTTGTTGTACGAATACAATACCCTATACACTACACTATACACTACTATACACTACACTATACACTGCTTTACACTAGACTACGCACTACTTTACACTATACACTACTATACCACACTATACACTACTATACACCACACTATACACTACTTTACACTGTACACTACACTATGCACTACTTTACACTACACTATACACTACTATACACCACACTACGCACTACTTTACACTGTACACTACACTATGCACTACTTTAAACTATATACTACTATACCACACTACACACTACTATACACTACACTATGCACTACATTACACTATACACCACACTATACACTACACACTAGTGCTATACTAGTAGCACATTGGCCAGGTTCTGTTTACGTGACAAACCTTACTAATTGGCCGTGTCGGGTGGTGGTAGGTTTAACGACACAACATTTATATATTTACACGATCTCACCCCCCCCCCTACCATGTGTTATAGATGACAAACCCCCCGTGTGTCCTAACCTTTTGGGCCACAGGAACCCCCCATGACTCGTCACATCGCGTTCTGGGGAGGTGCCCCTTTTGCCAGTGATCGCTCCAAGATAAGCCCCTCAACAGCTACACTCACCGTGTGCCCCCCCCCCCCTAATCACATTACATGCAGTGCATTGTTCGATCTACACACACTGTGCTCATCATCACAAACAAATACCCCGTAGACTGGAGGGAGCTAGTGCTGTTAGCGATCACTTTTGAAGGCCGGCACGGCACACGAGGGCCGCCTTTGTCTCCCCAGTGGCGATGTTTTACGCATCGTACTGGGTACTCATTTGAGGCTGAGTCGACCTAGGCGAGGCCCAGGACCGGTTCAGATAATCGTCACTGGGTGTTTGGCCGTGAGCGGGAATCGAACTCGGGTTGCCGGGTTTCGTAGCGCAGTGCGCTAACCGCTGCGCCACCGCTCCCCATCGCAAACAAAGACAAAGATCCCCCGTATAGCCTGTAAGACTGTAGGGGCAAGTGCTGTTAGCGAGCACTTCTGAAGGCCGGCACGGCACGTGAGGGGGTGGGTGGTCAGCACCACGCCAGACCGACCACCTTTGTCTCCCCATCACGAACACGCAAGCGCGAAAATGTTGACATTTCAACCGCATTAAAAAAAAAAACAACTTCCCCAAAAATCCCTTCACCCCCATTTGTCAATGTGTAACTTGCTCACTGGAAGAAGAAAAAAAAGCGCTTCACGGCTCACTGGATTCTCTACCCAGCCTACAGTTAACAACATTAATCCGACACCAATTAAATAACGGCGGTGATCAAATGTGCGATGAGAACAACAACAACAACAAACAGAAAAACCAATGCGATTGTTCAACGCAACTGCGGGTTCTGGGGTTCTTCACGGTGTGCCGCGTCCCCCTCCCTGGGAACATATTTCGCCTTAGGGGCCCCATCCATTTAGTCCGTGCTAAGAGCCCATCCATTTAGTCCGTGCTAAGGCCCCATCCATTTAGTCCGTGCTAAGAGGCCCATCCATTTAGTACGTGCTAAGAGCCCATCCATTTAGTCCGTGCCAAGGCCCCATCCATTTAGTCCGTGCTAAGGCCCCATCCATTTAGTACGTGCTAAGGCCCCATCCATTTAGTCCGTGCTAAGAGCCCATCCATTTAGTCCGTGCTAAGGCCCCATCAATTTAGTTCGTACTAAGGCCCCATTTATTTAGTAGGTACTCATGGATGGCCCCATCCATTTAGTTCGTACTAAGAGCCCATCCATTTAGTCCGTGCTAAGGCCCCATCCATTTAGTCCGTGCTAAGGCCCCATCCATTTAGTACGTGCTAAGGCCCCATCCATTTAGTACGTGCTAAGGCCCCATCCATTTAGTTCGTACTAAGGCCCCATTTATTTAGTAGGTACTCATGGATGGCCCCATCCATTTAGTTCGTACTAAGAGCCCATCCATTTAGTCCGTGCTAAGGCCCCATCCATTTAGTCCGTGCTAAGGCCCCATCCATTTAGTCCGTGCTAAGGCCCCATCCATTTAGTCCGTGCTAAGGCCCCATTTATTTAGTAGGTACTCATGGATGGCCCCATCCATTTAGTACGTGCTAAGGCCCCATCCATTTAGTACGTGCTAAGGCCCCATTTATTTAGTAGGTACTCATGGATGGCCCCATCCATTTAGTACGTACTAAGGCCCCATCCATTTAGTAGGTACTCAATGGATGGCCCCTACAGTTCGCGTCCCAGAGTATTTCTGGCGTTGCTTACAATGCCAAAAGGCGCGTTTCGGACCATTCACAACGGCGTTGTGCGCTTTTTGACAGTTTTGTATCCATCGGTGTTTACTCAGTGACAGATTATCCTCGGAGCAAAAGTAGCAAATGCTACGGGCCTCGCGCGCCGAATGCTTTCAAGCTATCATTTCCGGTGCAGTGATTCTGCACTTGCTCTATTACTATAGTACATGACCGCCTTCAACGTTTTATGAACGACTGGGTGTTTAGGGTTAGCGATTTGTCGCGTTATCTAGACGTATAGCAAATGGAAAAAATACAATTACTTTACAATGCAAGTTAAACATTTGTGTTTTAATGTTTAAGTTTTTAAGGCCCCTTTAAAACATACTTGCGGTAAGTACCCGGCGTTGCCCGGGCGAGAAATATATTTCAAATCTTCTCTTAAAAACCATACATATACATACACAGATACTAAGCTATTGTGAAAGCCCGGTGGGCCGTTTGTCCATTTCTCCACCAACAAAATTATAAGAGGCTAGCACAAGTCCAAAAAGTTATAGATGCTACTAGCTTTATCCGGCACTGTGTTTACTGCATCATCATCATCGTTGTCGTTATTATTGTCTGTGTGTCCCCACTTCGCTCTCAGTGGGGGCCATCTCCATCACCTTCGGTTTAAATCAAGAAAATAAAAAATACCCCCCCCCCCCAATCAACTTGCAAGGCGCCTTGATCCAGCGCTGCGTATACATTCGAGCACGTGGCCGACCCGGCTGAGGTTTCGCACTCTCTGAGTCTCATAAGCAGTGCCATTGTCGGCCACCACCCATCGCCACAGCAGAACCACATGGACGATAGCGCGTGGTTTACGTCTATTGCTCGTAAGGTCGCACACCTCCGGTTTAGCACGGTTGGATACGTACGGCGCGAAAGAAGTTCAACACACACACGTGAAATGCATTGGTCCAGGAGGGCTCATCATCTGTGCGAAACACCACACAGTGTGTTGCTACATTGTTCCAATTTTTCGTGATACTGATGATGATGGTGGTGGTAGTGATGATGCACATGGCGTTCCTGTTGATGCCAGCGAGGGTATTGATGATGATGACGATGACAGTGGTGATGATGATGGTGGTGTGGTGATGGTGTTGGTGTACATCAACGTGCGTCTCGAGTATTTGGCTGCTAGAGTCTCCACTGGATCACGACGACGAATGCGCCACCGATTGCACCTTGAGAGCCATCACTCGTGGCCAAGCTGGCTTCTGACAACAACCACAACAACCACAACAACAACGAGCTAACGAGTCAAAGCCTTACACACACCTGGTAAAAGCACCACCACCACAACCACCACCGCCACCACCACCAACAACAACAAAGTACAAATTCGCGAAGCCTCACTTACTTGAGAAAGTATCTCTGCCCGGATTGCGTCTTGGCCATCTCCCATCCGGGAGGCAGCGGCGCTTCGTCTCCCACATCATAGGAATGCTGACGGAGATGAATCTGCCCTTGGCCCTGCTGCTGCTGTTGCTGCTGCTGCTGCATTGACGGTGGCCCTTGACCCCCAGCGGACACCGCCGACAAGGAACCCAGCACCCCCGGCGAGAGGGCCAGCGACGCGGGCGACGAATTGGCCCTGATGTGAGTCGGCATGAGAGGCGACAGCGCCCCAGCCGCTGCGGCCGCCGAGTTCGACGACGAAGAGGATGAAGACGACGACGAGGATGACGACGAGGAGGAGGATGAAGAGGCCGAGGTGGATGACGACGGAACGACAGCCTGGTGGTCTGAGGTCAAACCACAGCCAACGCCGACGCTGCTGCTGCTGCTCGATTGTCGTGAATGTGAGCCGCAGCCAACGCCGGTAGCGTCGGGCTGCTTGAAGAACGAATCGGGCAGCTTCCTCATCCTCATGGGCAACTGCTGGGGGACGTTCGCCGACTTGGGGTTCATCACGGCGTTGAAGAGCGACTCTAGGTCGCTGTCCGAGTCGCCGCGAACGTGCAATACTTGCTGGGGGCTCTGCGTGCCAGACATCGGATCCATGCTGATGAAAGTCGTGCGCTGTGGAGGTTTACTCCGTGTTCTTTGAGCGAGTGTTGTTTCTTCTGTGTGTGTGTGTGTCTCTCTCTCTCACCCCTGTCTTCACGTCTTCTTGCTCGATTTATCCGGATCTGTTTTTCTCGCGGATTTGGTCTTTGATGGGTTTTGTCGTCGCGGCCGGCAAACGCGCGTTATATCCAAAGTGCGTCGCCTTCACACGCGCGCGCGTCTTCACAGGCGCGTCTTCACGTGTGCGTGTGTGTGTCTTCCTTCGGAAGGGCCCCCCCCACACACACACACACGCTCCCCCTGCCAGCTATAGTCGGATAAGTCGTCGGCGAAGTTGTAGAAGCGTTCGTTAAACGATTTAAAACGCTACAAACTATTTTGTTTTAAACCACACACACACGCACGGTACGGAGAGTCACGTCTCCTCCTCTCGCTGGGTGTTGCTGCTCTTCGCTGAAAGTTTCCGACAAGAAGTCTGACAAAACAAAAAAGAAACGGAATAATTAGTTATTATTATCCTTACCGACGAGATCCTAAGATCTCCGCCCGTAACATCACTCGTGCACTCGCCACAACAACCACGAAACAACTCCAGAATAAAGCAGCAACTACATTGGAAAAAAAAAACCCCAAAACTTGTGAAAGTTTTGGGAACTCCGTACGTCGACAGCACTCCGAGCTCGGCAAGGCGAACGAACGGGGGGGGGGGGGGGAGACGCGAAACGTGAAATGGTCGAGCGAATGTGAAACAAACAAAAAGAAAACCTCACCCCCCCCCTCTCACCCTCTCTCTCACCCCCTCTCTCCTCCAGCTCGAATCATCAAAAGTTTCTCGTGACAAACAATTGCTGGGGGAGGGGAGGGGAGGGAAGGCGCTTCACGCGAAACAAACTTTTGCCCGCTCAACAAACACGACGTCTGTTGTTGTTTGTTGTTGTTTGTTGTTGTTGTCTTGGTCGTCGTCAGAATTAGTAGCTGCGACTCAAACTTACGTGGCGAGTTGAGTTTAAACGGGAGCGCTGCTGCTTCGTCTTCTTCTTCTTGGCGAAGAGACGGCGGTGATGATGATGGTGGTGTAAGGCTGCAGTGCCGTGTGTGGGCTGGGCTCACGACGGCGAAAAGTTGCTGGGGCTGATGGGGGGTGGGTGGGTGGGTGATGTTTTTGTTCAGAACGTCAGAGAGTTGAGTGTGTGTGTGGTGGTTGGTGTGTGTGTGGGATGTGTGTGGGTGGGAGTGGGATGTGTGTGTGTGTGGGGGGATGTGTGTGTGGGGATGTGTGTGTGTGGATGTGTGTGGTGTGTGTGTGGGGATGTGTGTGGTGTGTGTGTGTGTGGGATGTGTGTGGGTGGGAGTGGGATGTGTGTGTGGGGGGATGTGTGTGTGGGGGGATGTGTGTGTGTGGGGATGTGTGTGTGTGTGGGGAAGTGTGTGTGTGTGGGATGTGTGTGGGTGGGAGTGGGGTGTGTGTGGGGGGGGATGTGTGTGTGTGGGGGGATGTGTGGGATGTGTGTGTGGTGTGGTGTGTGAGTGTGTGTGATGTGTGTGTGTGGGGGTGTGTGGGAGTGGGATGTGTGTGTGTGTGGTGTGTGTGTGGGATGTGTGGGGATGTGTGTGTGTGGTGTGTGTGTGGGATGTGTGTGGGTGGGAGTGGGATGTGTGTGTGTGGGGGGATGTGTGTGGTGTGTGAGTGCGTGTGATGTGTGTGTGGGGATGTGTGTGTGGTGTGTGTGTGGGATGTGTGTGGGTGGAAGTGGGATGTGTGTGTGGTGTGTGTGTGTGATGTGTGTGTGTGGGGGGTGTGTGTGTGGGGATGTGTGTGTGTGTGGTGTGTGTGTGGGATGTGTGTGGGTGGGAGTGGGATGTGTGTGTGTGTGGTTTGTGTGTGGGTGTGTGTGTCTGTGAGGGTGTGTGTGTGGATGTGTGTGTGTGGTGTGTGTGTGTGTGGTGTGTTTGTGGGATGTGTGTAGGTGGGAGTGGGATGTGTGTGTGGGGATGTGTGTGTGTGGGGTGTGTGTGTGGGATGTGTGTGTGGATGTGTGTGTGTGGTGTGTGTGTGTGGTGTGTTTGTGGGATGTGTGTGGGTGGGAGTGGGATGTGTGTGGATGTGTGGTGTGTGTGGGTGGGAGTGGGATGTGTGTGTGTATGTGTGTGTGTGGTTTGTGTGTGGGATGTGTGTGTGTGGATGTGTGTGTGTGCTCGCTAACAGCACTTGCCCCAGCAGTCTGTTGGGCTACACAGGGGATCTTTGTCTTTGTGTGTCTGTGGGGGTGGGTGGATGTGGGTGACAGTGGAGAATGGTAGATGTGGGTGGGTGTGTGTGGGATGTGTGTGTGTGGGGATGAGTGTGTGTGTGGGTATGTATGTGTGTGTGGGATGTGTGTGTGTGGGGATGTGTGTGTGTGTGGGGATGAGTGTGTGTGTGGGGATGAATGTGTGTGTGGGATGTGTGTGTGTGGGGATGAATGTGTCTGTGGGTATGTATGTGTGTGTGGGATGTGTGTGTGTGTGGGGATGTGTGTGTGTGTGTGGGGATGAGTGTGTGTGTGGGGATGAATGTGTGTGTGGGGATGAATGTGTGTGCTCGCTAACAGCACTTGCCCCTACAGTCTGTTAAGGCTATACGGGGGATCTTTGTCTTTGTTTGTGTGTGTGTGGGGATGTGTGTGTGTGGGGGGTCTGTGTGTGTGGGGGGGGATGTGTGTGTGTGTTGGTTAGCGCGCTGCGCTACGAACCTGGCGACTCGAGTTCGTTTCCCGTTCCCCGGCTAAGACCAGTGACGATTATCTGATCCGGTCCTGGGCATCCTCTAGGCCGACTCGGCCTCAAATGAGTACCTGGTGCGGTGCGTAAAAGCATCGCCACTGGGGAGACAAAGGCGGCAAGGCATGGTGCTGGCCACCCACCCCCTCGTGTGCCGTTCTGGCCTTCATCGGTGCTAACAGCACTTGCCCTAGCAGTCTGTTCGGGCCACACGGGGGATCTTTGTCTTTGTGTGTCTGTGTGGGGGTGGGTGGATGTGGGTGACGGTGGAGAATGGTAGATGGTGGGTGGGTGTGGGATGTGTGTGTGGGGGATGTGTGTGCGTGGGGATGTGTGTGCGTGGGGGATGTGTGTGGGGATGTGTGTGTGTGTGGGGATGTGTGTGTGGGGATGTGTGTGTGTGTGGGGATGTGTGTGGGGGGATGTGTATGCGTGGGGGATGTGTGTGTGGGGGATGTGTGTGTGTGTGTGGGATGTGTGTGTGTGGGGGGTATGTGTGTGTGTGTGGCTGACCGGGCTGAGCTGGGCTGGACGTAAAAGCAACAACAAAAATTGAGCGAGTGAGCGAGCGAAATATATAAATAACCTCACCAAACTTTCATAGTTCGTGAACTGAGCCCCACACACACACACTGAGAATACCATCACGGCCCCTACCACCACCACTCCTCCGACTGCGCTGAAGTTCCATCAAGCGAATTCGCTGCGGCGAGCGTCTCTAGCGGCTACAGAGAGGGGAGTCGCGAGAAATTCCGTTTTGCTCGTGATGTTAGGGGCCGTCCATAAATGACGTCACGCACCTAGGGGGGCTGGGGGGCTGGTCAGACATTTGTGACGATGTGTGACGAGGTGGGGGGGGTATTTGAGAAATGTGACGTCACGTAAAATGCGCAGCTTTAAATAAATATAGACAACACGTTCTACTTAATTAGACTTTTTAATAAATGTTTTCTCCTGCAACATCAGAGTGCAGCGCCACATTAAATACGCACTACAATGACAATAGTTTAAAGCGATACGCAAACTCCAAAGTTTAAAGCGACACGCAGACTCCAAATATACAGCAGCAGGCGTCAGGGTCACGATCGAACCCACGACTTCCTGTGCACCAGGCGAGGTAGTTAACATATCCTAGCCACCGTGATGATGAGAGAGACACGCAAACTCCAAATATACAGCAGCAGGCATCGTCAGGGTCGGGATCAAACCCACGTCCTCTTGTACACCAGGCGAGGTAGTTAACATATCCTAGCCGCCGTGGCACCCCGGTTCACCCATTATATTATCCATATATATCATTAGACATGGGCTATCCTCGCAATACCTGCAGGAACTGACGCATTGTTAAATCCTTTATATTAAGTTCGCTTGCTTGCTTAGGACCGTGCAAATCTTTCGGTCGTGTTTTAACCCACTTTCCGTGATCCAATCGAGCTGACATTTTCCACACAGACTCGTTGTGCGTGACAATTAATGTTCGTGAAATTTTTTTCTCCCAAAATCTTACACTTTTTAGGACAAAAATATTATATTTAATTACCAATTGCTTAATGGTGCAATGCAATCATCTGACCCATAGGTGGCAGCTATCTCAAGCCAGAGGACGAGAGGACTCTAACCGCCACGTATATAAAGGATTTATAGTGAAAAACTTTGTTTTTACTGGTTATACTTATTACACCTACAACGAGGTCTCCGAGATCTACAGATCGCTCTTCTTCTAGGTGTGGTACTTTCGAGGTCCAATGCTCATTTCCTGGGGTGGGATCTCACCTCGCCACCCCCACCCGCCACCGCCGAAACCCCGACCCGACCTCCTGCATACCAGGCGAGGAAGATAGGATCACGATGCCGTGGAGGCTCTGAAATAAATTAATAATGCGCGTATTCCCAGGGCCGTATCACGTAACCACATTGGCCCGGTCTGGTGCGTGCGTGTGCGGTTTTTTTTTTTAGCACAGGGCCTATTTTGAGTGCGAAACTTTAGTGTACGATGACATCATCTCGTGTGCAGGAGCCAGATGGTTTAATAATAATGACGACGATGATGATGATTTCAACGTTAGCAACGCTGCATCTCGGCTGCACGGTATTTGCTCCACACGCTCTCTCTCTCCGGAAGGGAGAGAAGAAGAGAGAGAGAGCGAGAGATGACGACTCAAAGGCGCCATCAACAATTGCCCAAGGTCTGCAATTCTCTCGCTGTAATTAAGCTTTATTGCTGGTTTATCCAGCATTTGCTGGTTTATCCAGGATGTTTCTGTTGCGCGTCGTCACTTTAAGATGTTCTCTGTTCATAGTTTGCTTGTTGCGGTTGCACCCGACCTAATAAATGAAACTTGAAAGTGTTAACGACGAATGGATGGGTGTCCACGCATCGGTAGAAAACCCACGCGTGCGAGGGGGAAACGCTCTATCCCATTGAATCGGAATTAAAATATTAATTTATACCGGAGGAATCCGATGGGCTGATGACACGGTGGCTAAGAGATGTTAAATACCTCGCCTGGTATACAGGAGGTCGTGGGTTCCAACCCGACCCTGACGATGCCTGCTGCTGTATATTTGGAGTTTGCGTCTTTCTCTCTCTCCCCGTGGAGATGTTAACTACCTCGCCTGGTGTACAGGAGGTCGTGGGTTCCAACCCGACCCTGATGATGCCTGCTGCTGTATATTTGGAGTTTGCCGGTCCTCAGGTTTTTTCCTCCCCTCCACATTTCAAATCAACGTCCACGCGCTTAGAGCATTTGAATGCTGCTATCCATTTCCACACGACCACGACACAGCAAGAACATTTGTGGATTTCACACCTGATGATGATTGCTAGTGTTGCAGTCGAAACGTCCTGAGAATTTTTTATTGTTTTATATTTATATTATTTTATTATTTCCCTTCCACGTGACTTTACCAAAAGAACCAATAATAGGTATGGTATTGTCGTGTAGGGTATAGTAGTGTAGTGTGTAGTGTACAAGAATACGGGGTAAACCGTGATGGGTTGACAGGTATTGTAGTGTCGTGTTTTTGTAGTGTAGTGTGTAGTGTACAATAATAACGGGTAAAACGTACAGTTCTAGATTTGAAGCTTTCGTGACTGCAAGGATTCGTATTCTTAGGTTTTTTCGGTAAAGTCACGTAGGTTAAAAAAAGTACAATTAATAAAAGTAAAATAAAAAATAAAATAATATAATAATTATTTTACTTTTATTAATAAAAAAAAAAATTTACCTACGTGACTTTACCGAAAAAACCTAAGAATATAAAACATACAGCTTGACAGCGATGCATTTGTGATGACCGGGTCGTTTCTGGCTACGTAGCCCAGTGGGTAAAATAAAAATAAAAGAGCGTGAATCGGTTAATAGTTTGCCGAGGTCGGGAATTAAACCGA